AGCAGCAATGTCCACAATAGGCAAACTATGGAAAGAGCCAAGATGTCCATCAACAGATGAATGGATAAAGAAGAGGTGGTATATGTATACAATGGAATATTATTCAGCGATCAAAGGGAATGAAATCTTGCCATTTGCAACAACGTGGTTGGAACTGGAGGGTATTATGCTGAGCAAAATAAGTCAATCAGAGAAAGACATGTATCTAACCTCACTGATATGAGGAATTCTTAATCTCAGGAAACAAACTGAGGGTTGCTGGAGTGGTGGTGGGTGGGAGGGATCGGGTGGCTGGGTGATAGACATTGGGGAGGGTATGTGCTATGGTGAGTGCTGTGAATTGTACAAGACTGATGAATCACAGATGTGTATCTCTGAAACATATAATACATTATATGTTAAAAAAAAGAGAAGCTAGTAGGAAGGGAAAAATGAAGAGGGGGAATCGGAGCGGGAGCTGAACCATGAGAAACTATGGACTATGTGCAACAAACTGAGGGTTCTAGAGGGGAGGGGGTTGGGGGGATGTGTTAGCCTGGTGATGGGTATTCAAGAGGGCAGGTATTGAATGGAGCACTGGGTGTTATACGCAAAGAATGAATCATGGAACAGTACGTCAAATACTAATGATGTAATGTATGGCGATTAACATAACATAATAAAATTTAAAAAAAAAGAAAATTGAAAGAGATAAAAATCTTTCAATCCAAGATAATTTGCAGATTACCCACAAATGCATAACAATTACACTGACAGTTAACTTTATACACCAGAAGGTAATTGCATATATTTAGTTTGTTAAAGGGAAAAAAATCTAGTTTCCTTCAGTTTTATATTCAGCTAAATTATCTGACAAGTAAAATAAAGACATTTTCAAGGAGTTGAGGCTTACTTGGGGATATTTGCTAAAAGTATTATAAATAAGGAAGATATGATATGCAAGAAGCAAATGTGAAAACAAAGTATTTTTAAACATGTTGATAAATACGAGTTAACTGAGATTGTTAAAGAATTGACCAAATCTAAAGTAAGAGAGAAGTAAAATATTAGATGATACTAACAAAAATATTGTAAGGAGAGAGGACATAAATAGTTTTTCATGCCTCATTTTTGAATTGTACAATGATATTGACTGGATTTTGAGAAATTAAGAAAGCCTGTTAAAAATTATGATAAAATACTAAGATAAGGAAGAGAATACAACTTTCATACTAGGAGAAGGGAAAGAGTGATTAAAGAAAAATGGACCAATCAACAAAAGGAAAGGAGAGGTAGAATTAAGGTATAGGAATGGCAAAGGACAGAGAAAATGAACAGAATATCTCATCAGAAATAAGCTTAAATATATTAATAAAAACAATGAATGCACAGAATTAAGTAGCCTTTTGAAAGACATAAGATTGAATTAAAAAATTCAGCTATGTGCTTTTTATGTTTATTTAAAACATTATGATATGGGGAGGTGGAAGCTAAATGGGTAAACACATAACAACAAAGTTGTCTAAACAAAATAAAGGTGCTATATATATCCAGATTAATATCAACCAAAATAAATTTGAATCATTAGATCATAAGTGATAAAAGCAACAATTCATTGGGAGATAAGATTCACAAACCTTTGTATACCTAACAAAGTAGCTGTCTGAAAATAAAACAAAATTAAGAGGATTACCAGGATTAATTGGCAGAAAGTCAATTATAGGGAGAAATTACAGTACTCTTCTCTTAGAAAGAATAAGAACAAAAATTAATAGGAACAACCTAGGAAGGCTGGTTTTATATGTAACACATATATCTACTACATAAAAAGCTACACTATGCTATGTTTTCAAGTAACTATGGAATGTTTATCAAAATTGATCACATATAAAAAAACAAAAATCTCAACTCATAGTAAAGAACCAACCTCATAAAGATCCCTTTTCTTTGAACAAAATTTAATAAAATAAAAATCAACCACTTATTGATGTTTGGAGATTCTTTAGGTTTCTCAGGAGGAGAGTAAAGTGATTACAGTACCTAGAAATAATAATCAAAATAATTTTTAAATAAATGATTGAATTCAAAGAGGAGGGAAAGCATTCTAATTGGAGAACGAATGAGTAAAGTCACAGGATGGAAATCAATTATGATTGGATTTGGGAAAGAGGGTAGATCATATTTGTTGGAATAGAGGTTTTACCTATGAGTATAAGAGGAAAAGATTGCAAACAACTGGAAGGCTATGACTTTGGCTTTTAATCTATAATCTTCGAGTGCCACTAGATGTTGAGCAAGATAGTCACAATACTAAAGAGGTTTCTAAACCAACCATGTTTTTCTTAATGTTGAGGTTCTAGATTGTGGGAATTCTGTCCATTTAAAAAAAATGAAACTGTGGCAAATATTAGTACAGTAGTTACAGTAGATTTCAAACAAGCCTTATAATTACATTCTGCTTATAGTTTTTCACTATATGCCTTCTTATGTGGAAGATATTTTAAATTTATGGGCATAGATGATAATTTATTCATCTTTATATTTCTGGTGCCTAGCCACAGGGCCTAATTCTTAGAAAGCACTTGATAAATGCTTGCCGCAATGAATTGCCTTTAATAAATCAAATGTGTTTATTGGCACATTTTCAAGAGAAAAAGTCTGGGTAAATTCTACTTAAGCAAACCTTTGTGTTTTTACATATGATTGCTACTTGGTTTGCATCAAATTGACAATGTGATATGTATATTGAATCATGAAGACTTGCTTTGAATTTTTGAAGGAACATCATGATTCATGAGCAAACAACTTTTATCAGTGTAGTGAAGAAGATAGGAACGAAGGGGGAAATAACCAGGAAAAGGAATGGTGCATTTTAAATTTATGGGTGTGATGTGCTGCTGTTGGTTTTAAATAATTCTAAAGAGTGAAAATTGGTGAATTCTCTTGCATTGTCTAATCAGAAGATAGATATCATGTACACATTTGGTAACTTTTGATATTTTAGGAGTCAATTTTAGAACAAAATTTTTTTGCCACATTTGCTTTATTTCTCTGTGTGTAATGTGTGTATGCAACTATTTTTCTCCTCCTCCTCTTCTTCTCCCTCCTTTTTCTTTTGTCTGAATTCTCCGTCACATGGAGGCTGAGACAAATGTCATGATGTACTAGTCTGTCCTTTTACAAGACTGCCTCCATGAAGGAAGGGACTGTGTCTGTCATATCATTCCAAGGAGTTGGGAAGAGTTAAATTATAGTTTATTATAAAAAGGATATAACTCAGGAACAGCCAGATGGAAAAGATGCATAGGGCAAGCTATGTGGTGAGCTTCTATGCTTTCTGAGTGTGACACTACCTAAATCTCTATGTGTTTACCAGCTCAGAAACTCCTAGAACAAATTTTAAGGAAACTAATTCATCTTTGGAAAAGGTGAAATTCCATTATTGCTGGCATGTTCCTTTGCAAGTAGGCTTATTTGGGTTCAAGGTTAGATGATTTTAGAATTGTGTTTAAAGTAATTCGTTTAATACTAAATAAGACTTTTGAATTTGTGCACTTAAAAAAAAAACACGTTTTCTGATATTCATTGCATGTTTCTGTCACTGAGTAGTTGTGGCAGTCTATACTTACAGGAATATCCAGGATCTAGTTTCTTATGCTTTGCATTGCTGGCCTTTCAAAAGCAATATAGTTTTTCCTAAAGCTAATCTCTTCAAAAATAGCAACTTAAAGTTCTCATTGACTAACCGGTAGTTCTTAAAATTAGGCTTTTCAGTGGGCGAAGAAGAACAGATGGCATCTATCTGTCCTGTCTTCTCTTCTGCTCCACTCTAAAAGAATGGATGTGAAATTTGGCCATTATGTGCTTCTTTATCCCTTGTGATGAAAACTGCTGAATGAGGATGGTTTCTCCATCTCTTTAATTTAACATGCTTTAGTTTTTACATATATGAAAAGATGAGTTATTACTCTTCAGTGTTGGCACATTTTTAAACTAGTAAGACAAATGTTTATTTGGAAGCCTTTGGCTTTGTAAAACAAACAAATTATAAAAGAAAGAAATGAAATCCTCTCAATGGACTTTGTCCTCTATTAAGGGTGTTATTGATGGGTGACATATAGTAAGTGTTTAATAAATACCTATTGAGTGATGAATGTATGTTGGGGGAAATTTTTTATGTTTAATATTTTTATAGTACTAAGCATACTCATGTGAACATCTATATTCCTCCTCACAAATGATTATTCAGTATTTTTAAAGGGGAAAAAGTACTCCGGTAAGACAAAAAAATTCTGTTGAAACTTCTGACATATTTATGTGTCAGTAGCTTTGCATTTATTGCTAAAGATAACCCAAAAAAACACAATACTGATGTCTGAACTTTCTGGATGATAGTCTTCACTACTGTGCTCAATGGATATTCCATTTCAACTGATAAACAGCATTTTTCTAGTATCTCCAAAATGGTCCAGTTCAGTTAAGAGGGCCTAACCTCCAACAACTGGGTAAATGGGTGTGCTTATTTAATGCCATGTCATATAATTGTCCTTGGCTTTGAGCTATGTTGCCTTGAATATAAATATTTCCCTACTCTTCAACAAAATATAAGTGCATACTGAATGACTCACAGAAAAGAGGTGCAAAGCTTACATATCACCACTTAGTGATTCCACTTTTTTAAAAAAATAGGAATTCAGAGGTATAACAATGTGCTGAAGTATCTTTCATATTGGAGAGATGGCTTCAGTGTTCAAATTCATGCTGCCTTGGGAAGCTGGACATTTATACCTCCTTCCTTTCTATCATGTCTTGACTTGAAACCTGTGTTTAGGATACAATCTCAGAAATAGGAAGGGACAACTAGGATTTAAATTAAAATGATCTGAATTATTAAGACAATTTAAAAATCAACAAGTTGATGTAAATAAAGCATATTTATAAGGTCTTATATTTTCAGTCTTCGTAAGTGTTTTCAATATGATTGGGATTAAATAATATGTATGTAAAATGTGTATTTCCAGCCACTCATTGGATTTGGAAGATGATACTCGACTTAACTTGTTTGATGATGGGACACTCATGATACGAAACACTCGTGAGTCAGACCAAGGTGAATATCAGTGTATGGCCAGAAACTCAGCTGGGGAGGTCAAGACACAGAATGCCATGCTCAGATATTCCAGTCCTCCAGGTACAACTTTTTTTTTTCCCCTGATTGAACTTAATGTAAATGCATCAGTTCTCCATAGTTATTTGCACTAGAAAATGACTTCATATTGCTTCTTTAAGGTATGGAATGCTTAAAAGTGAAACAGTTGCCATTGTCTATCACTTCCTAATTTTTTACAGAAACTTGAGGTTTTTTTCTCCTGAAGTTTATTTTAATTTCTTGCCTTAGTTCTATTCTTTTCTAGTCACAATAGGTGCTGTCCCAAGGCTGTCGTTACCTTTTTGACTACCCATCCACCTTCCTCAGAAGGTGACCCAGCATCCTCAGAGGGAATCAGTGGTACCTAGGCAGGACTATCAACTTTTCTAACAAATAATTTAATTATTCATTCATAATTAATTCATTCAACACATTTATTGAATGCTCACTGAGCTAGCCATTGAAGATCGTATAGTTAACAACCTATGCTCCTTTAACTTTACAGGAGTTTGCTTTGCTATAATTTCAGTGGCTTAACAGACATATAGCTATGACAAATTTTTTAGTAATATCATTATCAGGAAGGTGATGGAAATAGTGAGACACTATGTCTTACTTTACCGAGTCTATAGTCTATTAGGTGATAGCCATAATTCAACAAAATGGTAAGTTTTATGAAGGATAAGGAAAAAGGATAGAAGCAGAAAGGATAGTTGTGTGCTGGTAAATGTCTGTTTGTTTAGTTATTTATTTATTTTTAAAAGATTTATTTATTTATTTTAGAGAGAGAGAGAGCACACCTATGCACAGGGGTGGAAGGGGCTGAGGAAGAGGAAGTGAGAGGGTCTCACGTAGACTTCCTGCTGAGCACATAATCCAATGTGTGAGGGCTTGATCTCATGACCCTGAGATCATGACCTGAGCTGAAATCAAGAGTTTGGACACTTAACTGTGAGTTAATCCAGAAGCCCCACTGGTAAATGTTTAAAATTTTAAAATGTTTAAAAACTGGCTCCGGGGGTGAGGGCAAAGCCCTAGTTTGCCAATGATTGACATGACATCACTGAATTTGGAGTTAGGAAGAGATGTGTAGTAGTACACCATTGCATAGTATTTCCACCATACAGACACAATAGATGTAAATAATCTCAAGACCTTAGATCATAGTAAAATGCAAAACAATTAGAAGTGGTAAATGTCAGACTTTATCTTGGATATTAATGAGATTTATTTAGTTGTAAGTTTATGTAATTTAATTTTTAATAATGGCTGTGCTTAACAGTCAGTTTGAAAAATTCCAAAAATTTCATACTGGCTTTCCACAGACCCCTGACAGAGGAGGAGCTCTTAGATCAGACTTGGAAATCTGTGTTCATTCATGGAAGGATTTTCCAGGACCAGTGACATCTAAGCTGAAAGCAAGAAGTAGAAAACAGCCAGATAAATAAGATTGAAAACTTAGTAGAAAGGGCAGTAAAGGTAGAGAGAGCAGTGGATATTCAAGACATGGAATTCTGGATGTCTGGAGGATACAGAAGAAGGGTTGGGAATTACATGAGATTTGATGAATTGTAAGTCAGAGTTTCAACATTCATGACTGTACTCTAAGTGTTTCAAAATCAGATTTCTCTGTTACAAAGATGTCCCAAGCAGCAGTTTGGAGGACAAGCAGGAGGACAGAGTAAGGTGAGGAGGTCAGCGGATGTGGTGATGATGCAGAGGAGAGTAGTGACATTGGCAGTGACAGAGGGAGTAGAGAAAACGGCCCTGAATGAAGCATTATTCCAGCAGAAATAACACATTTGAGTCAGAGATTGACTGAATATGGGAATTCCTTAGAGAGTTCATCAGTAATTTCTGATTGGCAAACCCACTAGCTCCTTCCAAAGTGTCATTCCCTTTGCCCTCCAGATCAAGCCTGACACTGCACAGTGGAGTATTCCTACTTTGACTTCTGGGCACCACTTCCTCCTGATCCTTTCTGAAGGTCCTCTCCTTCTTTCCCAAGGCCTTCAGCCTGTCTCAACTGCGCCATTCCTCACACCCTCCCCACCTGCTCTTTGTCCATTCTGCCTGCCCTAACCACTTTTCTTCTTCCTCCATTGAGCTCTCCTTGAGTTTTAAAGCAATTCCCAAACATCCAACTTGCATAATTAATGTACACTTCAAAGATTTTATTGCTGGTATCTTTCCTGAGATTTGGATTGATGTCACTATTGTCTTATTGTTCATTTTCAGTATATGTGCTGCCAAAGCGAGCACTATTGTTCATTTTCAAATGTAAATTTTTTATGTTCCTCAAGCACATTCACCTGCACTACATCTTATGTTTTCCATCACTGTTGATATTGTTATCTTCCCAAAACTTCAGATTCAGCCTCCATTGCTATCTTGTCTTCATCAAGTCTCTAGAAATTTGGTTCCAAGATGTATCAGATTGTCTTCCTTTTCATTTCTACTGCCATTGATTCACTTCAAAAACCTTTCATACTTCAATTATTATAATAGTTCTTTCCATTTCTCTATAGCACTTTACACCTTACTGTAATATAATGATTTCCAAGGTATGTTGTAGTTCTTCAGATTATGTGGTTTGTCTTCTGTCCTTGTGGCTAAAGCATAAGCTTATGAGGAAAGGAGTGTCCTGTGCATCTTTGTATCTTTCCAACATCTAGCATTTTATCTAACTTAAGGCATTCAATATTGTTAAAATTAAATTAAATCTTGCTTGTTGAATTAGATTAAATAAATTTATCTCTACTCTTAATGGTATATTCATCTCAGAAATTAAGGAGCCCCCCCAAATTAGACCCAATAACTAAGCATGTTTAACACCCTCATAAGTATTTAATTTCTGCTTGAGATTTCCAGAAAAGATGAAACTGTTATGAATCAGTGAGTGGAACACTCCATATGGAAGTCTAAATTTTGTATTTACAAGGATATTTAGCAAGTCAATTTGTATTATATTTAGCTGAAAGTGACAGAAAATTTGATGAGAAATGGCTTAAACACGGTGTGTGTGTGTGTGTGTGTGTGTGTGTGTGTGTGTGTGAATGTGTACACGTGTGCACATGGGAATGTGGTTTATTTGTATGCCACAAGGAATGCAGGAGTCTGGACAGAGCTGCCACATTAGCCCAATGCTCCAATGATATCTCTCTATTCTTCAGTCCTTTGCATTGAGACCTTTTTCTCCATTTCATAATTGTCACTTCGTGGCCCAAGTTGGCTCTTGTAACCCAAACTCATGCCTGAGTGCCAGGTAGCAAACAGGAGTAAAAGCAATGACTAGTTAGACTGTTATTTATCTGGGAAGGAAACTCTTCCAGGCATGTGTGCCTACATCTCACTGGTAGAACTGTGTCACATGGATACCCTTAACTGCAAGAGAGTCTGAGAAGTCTAATTTGAACGGTTAGCCCCTAAAATAAAAAATAGGTGGGCACTAGCAGTGTCTGTGATCCATGATGGCATCAAGGGAAGCAATCTATTAAAAAAATTGCATGTTTATATCAGTCTAGATTTAAGACCCAGATGTTTTAGATTTAACTATTTGAGAATTTAATGTATGTATATAATATTTTAGTTTAAAGTCATTTTGAAATTGACAAAAATTTTAAGAACCACAATGTAGAGGGGTGCCTGGGTGGCTCAGACAGTTAAGTGTCTGCCTTCGGCTCAGATCATGATCCCCAGGTCCTGGGATCAAGCCCCAACTCCAGCCCTCTGGTTGGTGGGGAGCTTGCTTCTCCCTTTCCTTCTTTCTGCTGCTCCCCCTGCTTGTACTCTCTCTCTCTAATAAAAAATAAAAAAAATCTTAAAAAAAACCCCACAATGTAGAATATAAAGCCTTCTTAACTGCTACTGGTTGAATTTTGTTTTGTTTTTCTCTTTCCTTTAGCCAAGCCTAGTTTTATAATCCAGCCCCAGGACACAGAGGTTTTAATTGGCACCAGCACAACTTTGGAATGTATGGCCACAGGCCACCCACACCCCCGTGTTACTTGGACTAGGGGCAGCGGAGAGGCCCTGGATGGATCCAGGCACCTGGCTACTTCTGGAGGACTATACTTGGAGAATGTCACCCTGCAGGATCATGGTCAATTTACCTGTCATGCTGACAATAATCAAGGCTCTGTTCAAGCTACAGCAAACATAATTGTACAAGGTATGGGAGCAGGGGGTCATTGAAATGTTCATGCTACCACATTCAGAAAATTATTTTTCAACTTAAAAAAATAATGTCATGTAAATCAGTGAAGAAATTTTTTTATTTGCCATTTATTGTTGACATAATAGAATTTTCAAAACTAATCTGCTTCATATTAAAATTTGGATTTTTTTCACTTCAGTCTTTATCCAAATGTTATAATCAACCATTAGCAACAAAAGAAGTCATTTGGCAGCAAACTGTCAAAAGATATTTGTGCTTCAGGATACTTCACAGATGTAGGAAAGACACTTCAGATATGAAAGTGAAAATGCTGTGCCCGATGTTCATAGTCACTTACCAAGCTGCCTACTAACATAGCTTAGGACTATGCTGATGGCTCTTACGGGCCTGGGCTACGTAACAAAAGCAGTAATAAAACTATTCTAAACACCATAAATAATTTATATGCATGGGCATGTAATCCTGTTGTAAAGAACTCATGTTTTTCTCCTCTGCTTTTGTTCTGAACTGGGCTGCCCTTCCCTGTCTGTTATGGTGGTTGTGTGTGTGGGTTTAGGTGCATGTGCATGTGTGAGCACAGATACTCAACACTCCTTGTGGGCTAAGAGGTTTAGTTTTTTTTTTTTTATGTTATGTTAATCACCATACATCACATCATTAGTTTTTGATGTAGTGTTCCATGATTCATTATGTGCTTATAACACCCAGTGCTCCATGCAGAAAGTACCCTGCTATCACCAGGCTAACCCATCCTCCCAACCCCCACCCCTCTAGAACCCTCAGTTTATCAGAGTCCATTGTCTCTCCTGGTTCATTTCCCCCTCCGATTTCCCCACCTGCTATCTCCTTCTTCTTCTTCTTCTTTTTTTTTTTAAACATATAATGTATTATTTATTTCAGAGGTACATATCTGTGATTCAACAGTCTTGCACAATTCACAGCGCTCACCATAGCACATACCCTCCCCAATGTCTTTTACCCAGCCGTCCCATCCCTCCCACCCCCCACTACTCCAGGAACCCTCAGTTTGTTTCCTGAGATTAAGAATTCCTCATATCAGTGAGGTCATATGGTACACGTCTTTCTCTGATTGACTTATTTCACTCAGCATAACACTCTCCAGTTCTATCCATGTCGTTGCAAATGGCAAGATTTCACTCCTTTTGATGGCTATATAATATTCCTTTGTATATATACCACCTCTTCTTTATTTATTCATCTGTTGATGGACATCTTGGCTCTTTCCACAGTTTGGCTACTGTGGACATTGCTGCTATAAACATCGGGGTGCACATACCCCTTTGGATCCCTACATTTGTTTCTTTGGGGTAAATACCCAGTAGTGCAATTGCTGGGTCATACGATAGCTCTATTTTCAACTTTTTGAAGAACCTCCTTACTGTTTTCAGGAGTGGCTGCACTAGTTTGCATTTCCACCAACAGTGTAGGAGGGTTCCCCTTTCTCCGCATCCCCACCAACATCTGTTGTTTCCTGACTTGTTAATTTTAGCCATTCTGACTGGTGTGAGGTGATATCTCATTGAGGTTTTCATTTGGATTTCCCTGATGCCAAGCGATGTTCAGCACTTTTTCATGTGTCTTTTGGCCATTTGGATGTCTTCTTTGCAGAAATGTCTGTTCATGTCTTCTGCCTATTTCTTGATTGGATCATTTGTTCTTTGGGTGTTGAGTTTAAGAAGTTCTTTATATATATTGGATACTAGCCCTTTATCTGATATGTCACTTGCAAATATCTTCTCCCATTCTGTCGGCTATCTTTTGGTTTTGTTGACTATTTCTTTTGCTGTGCAAAAGCTTTTTATCTTGATGAGGTCCCAATAGTTCATTTTTGGCCTTTCTTCCCTTGCCTTTGG